TCTTTTACTTACTGATCATTTTAGTGCTTCTGTTTGAACAGTAAAATCTATTTTCTTTTTTTTTATCATAGCTTGACTCCATACAGTATTTTTGGTACAAGTATGAAGTTTTCAGCATGTGATATTGGTAGCGCAAATTTAGCAGGCCAACCATTGATATCAGGTATGCGTCGGCAGGAGATCGAACCCCGGACCATGTGCATGGTCGGCGAGCGTCCTAACCGCTGTATTTTAAATTTATGTATCGCATTCTTTAGTCTTCTTCACAATCAACTTGGGCATAAAACTGTAATCAGTCACCGTTTAAATAACACTGTTCCTGGCTGTGATATTAGATGACGCAGGTAAGATCTTCAGAAAAACAACCTTTATCATTATCCTGTGTATTATTGATGAGTGGCAACATGTACGAAACATGTTTGCGAAGCATTTTTTCCGCTATCTCTGCTTCCTCCTCACTGCCGAAATTCATAGTAGCATAATTTCACTAGGTAGACCTGGTTCCTCGTCTATCGAACAACTTACGCTTTGATGCAATCAAAAATCGATAGATATCCTTCTCATGTTAACTCCAACTGTATAGACAAACTTACATGTATCTGTGGGAGCAGTTACATTGGAAGAACAGAAAGAAGGAGGGTATACCTACAATTTTCTGAACATGTATCAAAAAGCCTATGTTTAAAGGGAACAAATACTTTAAACAGTACCATCACCAGGTATCGCCTTGACACGGATCATGAGGTGGACGTCGCAAGATCGTTCAAAATTATCAATAGGCAAAAGAGATCGAATCCCCTCAAGTTTACCGAAGCAATTTCCATCAAGCGCCTGAAACCTGATTTATGCCCTGGTAACTGGATATTTTCACCCTCTCTTCCATCTGATTACGTAATGTCAAAAGTTTCCATTGTGTATAATCATTATTGTTCAGAATAAAGTTTTTATTATTATATATTATTACTCTATGTATGTAGTGATTGATTGATTTTTGTTTAAAAATGAACTCTGTGTAAGTATGTTAAAATTGTTTCTGTAGATATACTTAATAATGGCTTTGGCCTGTAAGCAGCTGATGAGAAGCCAGCAAAATAAACAATGATGGTAGCATTTCATTCCGCACAAACCACTGTTGTTCTTGCTTTATTCAAATTAAAATAGTTTAGTTGTACAATAGGCATTAATCAGTCGACACAGTTCGATCAGCAACTAGGTGGCAAGAAGGAACACATCTGAGAGCTAATTACGAGATAATATATTTCTAAAAGGAGTTTCGATTTGTCCTACTTCATAATAGACATACGGATGTGATAGTGAAAACAGGAAGCTTATGTTGACAACTTTGATCAAAACACCAGAAGTTGAAAATATATTAGATAACCAAATCCTCAAGGGAACACATGCCTTACTGTAATCGACTTTAAGACAAATGATAACTCTGTAATCATAAGCAAATATCAGTGCTGGTCTATGAAACACACCTTGAATGCGAAGGTTCATGGTACTGCCCGACTGCACAAATCTTGAAATGTATGAAGTGTATTTGAATTAGGCAACCACTAGTCGAAATATTTTTCCATTCCTATACGTTCCTAGTGGGACATAGGCCGCCTTCAAGCTAGAGGCTTAAAGTTTCGGTAGCAGTGGTGTTTGTTTTTACGGGATGGGGCTGCTAGCCTCATGTGACCAACCTTCCCTCTTTACCAGTCTTATTACTGGCTTAGTGAGGTAGGGGATCGAACCCCGGACCACATGTGTGGTCGGCGAGCATTCTACCCTGTGCCACCGACAGTCGTAATTTTGGTAAAGCAGAATTAGCATATAGTACTTTTAACGATGCATTATAACCGTCTTTTACATCTAGAAATTTACAGTTTACATATCCGTTTTATATGTTGATCTGGTTCATATAATAATAACCTACTATAACAGATTTCGACTATCATTTTCGATTAATTTCAAACTGTTTAATCAATACAATAAAAGAGAGGACTTACTAGCCATTTTACTTATTATATGTGAATGCCGTACATCTTCATAATCCAATTCAGGCCTTTCACCAGCACGTCCTTTGAGTTTCGCTCTCTTTGCATGTCTTTTACCTGCTCGTAAATAGGATAAAATTTGAGTAAGTTTATTGATAACAATTTCATTGGTAGTTATTGCACCGGCAGCACGACCATCAACTTGTAAACAATCCGATTTACTACGGATTACTGTAGCTGGAACTTCAAAATCCACTGAATCATCTTCCAGCTCAATACGATAAGCCATTCGACCAGGTTGAAAGTATTCATTACGCTCTGGTAGACGTTCATTGAAAAGAACATTACAGATATTTGCTGCAAGATTTGTACGAAATTGAATGCCTTCCTCCCCAGTACTTTCTTTCGTTTTATCTGGTTTATTTAATTCAGCATCCAACGCTTGTTCAGCTTCGATTTCTTTATTTTGAATTTCTAAACGAACTTTTTGCAGCAGAACATAATCGAGACCTTTGACCAAGTGAGTATGCTCCATATCACCACCAAGATACTTAGATTCTTGAATAATCATTCGACGACGTTCCGCATGTGAAGCTCCAGCGGCAGATGATGGTGCGACAGCACGATAATCAGCTGTACGTGTTAATGTATCATCATCGTTTTCCAGCTCACGTTCATCTTCTACTTCTTCTGTTGGCACCACAAGTTTTCCATCACGTCGTTCTTTTGCTCGATCACGATAACGATGCACCGATTCAGATGTTTCAGGTTTCTGACCATCTTTTTTACTGCGTACATGATGACGTTTATGACCAACTTTATGTTTACTACGATGTGAAGACTGACTAGAATCTTGACGTTTACGATCAGAACGATCAGATGGATGAGCGAAACCACGTGTACCACTTTCATTTGTTTCATCTGTTTTTGATGGTTGTGTTGACGGTTTAGGTGTCATTAACAATTTGCGGAAATCGCTGTTAGAAAGTTTGTGATTAGGAAGTTGTTCTCCATGCCCCACGAATGCATCGGGGGCCAGTGGATTAGACACTGCCTCAATGAAGTCCGTCATAGAATCTGCTAAATAAGCAAAGTAAAAAAACATCCATGTAACCAGTAGACCAACCTTAACAGTGGCAACTACTATAAAACTCCCAAGTATATAAAATTACGAAAGACACTATAATTTTACAAGACAAAAATTATGAATATCCATAATTCGGAAACCTTGTCGACAAACGGATAAAGTATTATTGGCTAGAAAGTTATGAACTATTTCTAGCAAAAAAGAGCCCACAGCAAAAATTCAAAAATTAACAGAAGTTATAAAAATAGAACTTGAGCACTGTGGTAGTGTATGATCTCATCATAGAGTAAATCTATTTGATAAAGTCTCAGTGTTATACAGTATTTATTATTACTATTGTTTCCTTTAGTTCCTAGAGGAACATAGGGCTTCAGCCACACGTCTCCACTGCGTTCGGTTCTCTGCCAACATTCTCACCTGGCTCCTCGTCTGCCCATGTGCTTTCATCTTCTCTTCACATGACCTCCTCCATGTCACTCTCGCATTGACGACCAACCCGCAACTTCCCATTCGGGTTCCACTCGAGTAATGGCCTGGCGTGTGATGTCACTTTCTCAGAGTATGACCAGTCCACCTCCATTTCTTCCTGCATATTTGTTGCAAAATTGGTTCCTGTTGGGTTGGTTCGCTCATTTCCAGAGATCCCTGTTGATGATCTATTCTGGCCATCTGATCTTGAGCGGAGTACTGAGCCAAGACAGCTGTTGATGAAGGTCTTTAGTTTTTTCGATGTGCTCTTTATGACGCGCCAAGTCTCTGATCAGTATAGTAGCGGTCGGTAGCACTGACTTCACATTGGAGTTGAAAATCAGCATCTTATTTTTCATGCTGAGTGCTGTTGATCTCCACACAGACTTGAGAGTAGTGAAAGCTTGTCTTGCTTTCCTGATCCTCGCTATTTTGATATCCTCGTCAACTCCGCCCGCCTGCAGTTGAAACGATGCTTCCCAGGTAGGCAGGTAGGTAAAAGAGGTTTCTTCTTTTATATTTCTCCCGTTTATGCTGATTGTTGTCTGCTGTTGTTGCTGTTGGATAGGTATCTTCATCATCACATCTGTTTTCTCTATGTTCACCTGAAGTCCTATCTTCTCTGGATGCTTCTTCTGCCAACTTGTTGCTTTTCACTTAAATATCTTCCAGTTTGTGGGAAATCAGACATAAGTCATTGGTAAAGTCCAGATCCTCCAAGTTTTTTGCGTGGGTCCACTTTAAGCCTGTTTCCTCGCTGCCCGCTGTCTGTCACATTATCCGGTCTACTGCAATCAGGAAAATCATTGGAGATAGTAGACAGCCTTTTCTTATTCCCGTCTTCACTTCGAAGGATTCCATGAGTTTCCCGTTGTGGATTACTTGGCATGCGGTAGTATTTACTGATGACATTTTGAGAACAACATATTGCTCATCATCATGTCAAGGTACCACACAACTTGCCAACTTCGCATGAGTACCTTGATATGATTATGAGCAATAAATAGTGCTTGAAAAGTCATCAGTAAATAACATTGTATAACACTATGAGACTTTATCAAATTAATTTACTCTATGACGGAATGGACAGAAGTTGAGAATTCTGTTACTACTTTCGTTACTCAGAATTTTGATGGATTTCATTTATCACTCAAAGAACTATTCATCACTTTTTCAGTTTTTTAGTCAGTTTTAGTTGTAGAAACAATATGAGTATTACGATGTCAATTCGGAAACAAACAACACCAGAGACTTATAAAGGATTAGAACAATGACAAAGCTAATACACATTCAAACTTCATAAATTACAGCAAATTTAACCGGAAGTTGTTTCAGATAATCCTCGATGTAGCCACTGCAGACACTGCTCTGTCGCAGTGACCAGAGTAACTTAGAGACTGGTTTCAACACAGAACTTTGCACAGAAGTGCAGCAGTTCGAGTTGACACACTTCATGAAGCACACCAAGGAACACAAAAGAGAAAGACGTTTAAAGTACGACAATAAGCAGAAATTTCAGGGAGAAATAAGAGTAACATAGAAAATCAAGTTTTTTTAGATATGCCAGACCAAAGAGAGTGAATGCTGATGAAGAGTCCCAAACTAGGACGAAACAGCTGTCCAGTACTCCCAGCTGGTTTTCCAATGGTTCTCTAACCGATGTCAGCTCATGATGAAATTCTGTAACCAATCAATCAAATCCCTACAAACCAATATTTGTCCTATATCACCAGGAGTTGCCAGCCATTGGTTCTTAACATCCCGAGAACCCCAACTAGACAGCAGTCTACACCTCCATACGTGGCTAGTTCAAAGTAACTTAAAGATTTTATGGACTGATGTTATGTGTTCACTTAACCCCACTAACTTTTTTTAAAAATCCTACGTCAGTTAACATTGACTTTAGAGCAAAAAGATAGTTAGGCATGCGTTAAACATTTCCTAACCATCTCAATCGATGTGGCTTCACCACCTTATCGACTTATTTTCTCTCCTTATCTAGCACTCGACCTATGCTTCACCCCGATATTGCTCACCCTATTGTACCACCTAACATGGAAGATAGGACGCAGACACCTCTTATGAAAGGGTATTAGCCTTTACATTTCTTCTACTTTCAATGGTCATGTCTCACAGCCATAAAGGAGGACGGAGTGAACTGCTGAGCAGTACACACATCCTTTGATCGATACCTGGATATCACGTCTACGCAAATTGGCAAATGCCATACTAGGCTTTTGTATCCATGCTGAGATTTTGTCAGCAATCAGCCCGCTGAGGCTGATGAAGCTTCCCAAATAAGTGAAGTAGTCAACACGCTCTATCAATTCACTCCCAATTTTTAAGCTAGGAGTCAATGTAATCTAGTCCTGTAGCATCACCTTACATTTGAAAGACATTCGAAGATTGCTGCTCAAGGTATTCAGAAGACTACAGCATTTTATCAGCGTTTTCACCTAGGAGGGAAATATAATCCGCACATTTTAAGTCAACAAGTCAATACTTAAGTGGCTAAAGTCAGTTAGATTCAATTCCATAGGCACATCAGTGACCAAATGAAACAGGAAAAGTGACAGTGGGCATCTCTGACGGACACCACTGGTTGCCATCACTTCAGATGACAACTCTCCGTAAGTTCTTACACGGCTGCAAGAGTTCGAGTAGAGTGCCTTAATTGGTGCGATTTACTTCCTCGGAATTCCCTTCACAACGAAACATCAAGGTAACTTATTACCGCAACTTAGGTAAAACACCGTCAGGAATGTCAATGTCCAAACCAAATATGCAATGAATTTTATAGAGTCGTGGATGTAACTGCACTCATAAGTTTGTGCTAAACAGTAAGATTAATGAGTTGTAGCCGCTCAACCGATAGTAAATAGATGTTTTCCCAAGATTATCTAATATGTCACTCGCTCACCACTGTGTTAACTTCTTCAAAGAGAACAGCTAAGTACGCAAAACTTGACATAATCTAAATGATATTACAAAATAGACAACAGAATTCTAATAGCATGCGAAAACAAAACATGGATTAATTGCAAATGAACATCTACTTTAGTTTAATACAAGGGTACTTTTTGACGGAATTATATGATAAACAACAACAAGACACAACGATTTTTTAAGAGATTTACTGTGGAGCAGATACTCTGACAAACATTATCAATATGGCATCCAGGAATTCAGCAGGATGATTCAAGTTGTGCATTAAGTAAAATATAAGGGGAGATAAGAAGTAACCAAAAATCATAGAATAACGTGAAGCAGCTGATGGAATATGATATTAGAACTAAAAGGAAAATAAGGTTTAATGCCATTTACGGCACATCAATTCTTCAGCTACGGGTTATAGCAGTCAAGTAGAGTTCAGTTGGCCAACCTACACTTTTCTGCATTATTCAAACTCACGAGTTGATGAGTTAGCATCAAGTTTGGATCTGGATACATTTCTATACTAATCCTACTTAAACTTCATATGCTGCTGCTGGCTGCTGGATTCAACATAGAACTTGGCACCGAAGTGCAGCAGTTCGAGTTGCCACGTTCCAAATAGCACACAAAGGTAGACAGGAAAACTTCATATGACAATTTGAGGAAGATACCAAAGCAAATGAAAGTTGATATTTCCCTCGACTGAATCATCTTTTACCCTATGAGTTTACACTTGACTTCTACATTAACTACACTGTAGTCCTAAGAAAAGAAAGTGGTACTAAAGCAGATAATCGTCTATCAACATACACTAATTGGCTCAGTGGATTTTAGTATTTTAATTATGTATGTTAACAATGAATATATCATCTGAAAAAGAATGTCCACTTATGTCATGTAAGAAGCTAGAGAGCAATGAGAACACCTCAACCAGAAACATTTATAAATAGTACAAATGAATGTGTATGAAAAGTGCAGGATATGTATATGAATGGGCACCATAACGCTCAAAACTATAAAAAAAAGGATTTGACAGTATCACACCGATTATCTGTCCTAAAATAAGTAATGTTTACTCTGTGGTAGATTTATATGGGAAAAAGCAGAAAGTAAATTTTTTTCATAGTAGAACTGACGTAATATTTAGAGATTCTACTTGATGACTGATTGGTTGGAGAATCAACGTGGCGGTCTAGACAGATTTACGTCTGTTTAAACTACCACACTTAGAAAACACAAAAGTGAGTGACAAAATGAATTTAATTATTGTCCGTCAGAATATTTAAAATTTAACAATAGGTTCTTGTAAAGCAATATGTACTTAGGTGATTCGGATCTGTAGTTGGAAAGTTCATGGTGGTGCTACAGTTATGCTTTGGCTACTTCTAACTTACTAACAGAATTTCAACCTACACTACACAGAAGTGTAGCAGTTTAAATTACCATACCCCATATACAACACAAAGGTGAAGAGAAGACAACTGAGCGAAAATGTTCAGAAAGAAGAATAAATAACTGTCAGAAACATGAGGGTTTAAAGGATATGGTCACGTCTAACTCCTCAACCTAAATATCGAGGCAATAGCTCGACATGTGTAGAACATGACCCAACCATTTAAGTCTGTGGAGCCTCACAACTATATTGATTGGTTTATCGATTATGCTTACCTAACATTTCACACCTAGGGTCAACATCACCTTTCAAGTTAAAGATGTAAAGTTAAAAACAGATGTTACATTATTAAGTAACTGGTTTGAAAGGCGAAATTTGATTATGGCCTACTTGTCCGAATAAATAAGAACAATTTTATCGACTCAAATATTTCAAAGCCAAACATCTATAATGTTTTTCACATTTTACTAATAATCGTTAAGATGCACAAATATGCATACATTGATAAATCATTGAGCACATAGCAGAAATAGAAATGTGAAAGGATTCTGAGATCTTCAGGTTTCAATCAGTCAGTGACACAACCGAAATGTGTCATTCTGATAACCAATGAACCAATCAAGAATAAGGTTTTCATTCAGTTGCATTGACGGTATTGAATAAAAGTGTCCCGAGGTCTCTTAGAAGTAACATCAGAACTATGGAAACATTTTCTGTATCTTTGGATAATACTACTATATCAGTTTCCTTATTAACCCAAGATTTCAGAAATTGTAGTGTCGACATAATTAAGCGTTTGGGTAAAGGAATCTATTGAGGCATTCGAATTACGAGTAGACCATAAATGTCAACAGAGTGGTTTCATACATATACGACAATTAAGACTTGAAGAGAATCTGCTGACTCTGATAATGGAAGAAACAATGATATACAGTGAGTTTGGACATAGGGTGTCTTATACATTGTAGTTACGAGATACGTTATGAATGCTTATGAACAATCCATTTTTGGAGTGTTGTGACACATTACAAAGCTGTACATATATATAGATACAGCTCAAGCGCGGATGTATAACATACTCCACAAGAATGAGCTAAATCAGCCAAATGTTAATGCAAAGGGGGCATTTGAAGCTATGATCTAACGACCTAACTAATAACTGCTTAAATATTCACGTAAGGCTTCATTCATTTCCGACAATTAGTCCCTATTCGCATCAAAACTAACTTCACTGCTATAGTTCTTTCCTATCAAATGCAAAGATATATAGCGTAATAAATGTCAATATTGTAAAAGATTTGGGCAGACTATAGGAAATATGTCAAGCACAGTGAACTAAAGGCAACAAAATTTTCAAAAAAACGTAATTAGGAGGCGTTTCACTCCTCTCCACTTCGTCTCAGTGCTTATATAGATTAGAGAGAACTGTCCCAGCTACCGTTTAAAGACAATGTAATTTTAGTTAAACGGCTTTCATGCATGGACAAATACCACAAACTAACTCTATTCTATAACATTATGCGGTAAAATAAATATATCCGGATTATCTCAGTGGAGAAGTTGCAGTATCAGATCTCCAATGACCCTAAACGTATACCAGTAGTTGGATAACGGGATTTACCAATATTATAGCGCCAGTGTGGACGCCATTCACGAATTAAGGAGTAAATTCCACTCGGTTACGTTTCTAAGTACTGTTTGGACAATGTGCTAATGGCTCGTTAGGGTTAGAATTGTGGTTAAGGTAAGCATTAGGGTTACGGTTAGATTTAGAGTTATAATTAGGATCAAGGTTAGGATAAGGGTTAGGGTTAGGTTTGGGGTAGGTATTATTTATTTTTATTATCCACATTTTCCTAGCAAGTATTCATGGATCCTCTTACTGAAAACCATAGTAATTCAGTCGAGGACTTTTGGGGAAGATTGCAAAACAGCTCATTTTCAGTCACCTTGGGGAACACGTGTACAGAAACTGGTCCAACTTAAAAATTGGAACTCCCCATTATAATTAAGAACTACTTTCAGGTTATGTCAGTGAAAAATATCCTGTTTAGTGTGTTTTCCTGCAATTCCTTGTAAACAAACGTCATTTTTTGTAGAAAAATCACTTATTTTTATGGTTGTCCGACTCAAGATCACTTATGCGTTCACACATCATGGGACGTGATGGTCTAACTTTGCTATCTCAGTATTTATAATAATGTTGCAACTGATATCAGAGTACAAATTATTTCCGAAACAACGAAACTAATGTCACGAAACCACAACAATAACCACGCCTATTATTATTGTACTACCGAAAGTAAACATTACAAGAACAAAGCAGGCTGCTGATGTGTGCTATTATCCTTGTCACAGAAGAAGCATTGTGGGTGTAAAGAGGTAACTTACAAAATCAATGGTCAAGTAATGCCTATAAGCTAACAATATTTCTGCAAATACTATTAACCCATTAATGTAATAAACATTTTTGCATATAGTGTTGGACGCTTTTAATTTCTGACGGTAAATGACAGGTTAAATATTCAAAATAAACAATCAAACCTAGTTTGAGAAGGGCGATATCAAAATATGGTCTAATGTCACATTAACTTGTTTCAAAGTATAATTAAGACATCTTCACTGATCTATGCAGGTGTGCACTTAGGAATTAATTTGAAAATGTAAAAATACCCACGAGTTAGGTCATAAATACTGGTAGATCAGACTGTACGCTGTCAAAATCAAGTGGCAAAAATTTTAGGTGTAAGGTGGAACGTAATATACTTTTAACTCCTGTATATAAATTTTAGGTTATATATCTTTTGACAGTGCAACAGACTACTCCAAGAGCATACGATTTTATCACTTCTATGAGACTTCAACCGCTGAATAAGTGAAGCAAGAAATCCATTTGTCTGGGAATGTTGTCAAAAAGTCCCTCATGCATGTCAAATTGAAACACATTAGATCAGAAAATGGAAACACACTGGATATATGGTGAACAACCTGGAAGCATTAAAAACGCTGTAGTTCAATATGATGGGAGTAAACAACTGAGGCGAAGATATCTTCGACAGATAGTTTAATTGAACTATAACAGCCACCCTTTCCAAGCTTATCGCAGACCTCATGCAACTAATCAGAACTGCACAGCAACTAAAGTCACAGAACTATTTATAAAAATAACTATAGGTCATAGTGTTCTGAGAATGATTTGCATTTCAAATTCTGTCGATTATTCTACCTAACAACCCTAGTCCACCTAAAATGTCAGTTATCCAGTCAATATTCCCCAATTATGCTTGTTTTAGAGACTCTAATTCACCCATTATTTACATGGTAATTAAACAATCGATTTTCCTGATATCGTCAAACAAGTTTATAAAAAAGGCCATCATCTGATTTGATTGCACCATACGTATATCTAACCATGGCTATCAAAACTCATTTGCCGGTGTTGCTGCCATATTTTAACTACGCAAGACACTCCATCTTGACAATTTTTAAACAGACTCAAGCGCACTATGAAGAATAACGTATTTAACCAGGATAAATTACCTTACAGGTAGTGCAGACCTGATAACGACCTTGACTCAAATATCCCACAATATGCGCACCTTAATATGGGACTCCTGTGAATGCTATCAAACTCCAAGATTTCATCAGTAGATGTAGAAAATTTGTACTTGTTGCAATAATCGTACTATTATATGCCTATTACTTGAGAAGTACACGTGTTTCCTTCTCATTTAGCTTAATAGAATTTTGGCTTTTGTTGTATTGTGAAAAAAGACATTGTAGCAGGAGGGAATTCCCCAGAATTATTGGCCACAGCATTCATCAGTAAAGATTGGATGCTGACCCTCACTATTTAAGTCGACCTGTTTAGCTGAAGGCTTCCAGTCAAGCATCCACGCCATTTGGCAAGCTGTCGTGTTACGTTCGTTCGTTCGTGCACGATCCCTGGGTAGCTGAGCAGTCATCTCGCATTCCGATTTGGTCCTGAAATATAACTCGTAATTTGGACGATCAACTCTGGCGTTTCGCTTTGCCTTCGGTCTAAGAAGAACAAATACCATAGAAGTTGTGGGCATTAGATCTTGCGTTAGTATACTTCGTACTATCCGTGGACGTCAATACCTTCAGCCTCTAAAACATTTTCAGTCAAGGAAATTTTCTTTTGGACGATTCATTTTCATAAACTATACAATCTTAATAATATTTGACAAAATATGCATAAGGTCAATCAGATACTGGTAAAATTTGTCCTTGAAAACGTATTACTTAGTGTAGTGTGTAATTTAGAAGGGGTGATACCTTGGCGACTGTGGAAGGCGAGCACTCCCTCATGAATACTTCACAGTGCTACACAGAGTCCCTCGAATACGTCATCCGTTCATAGCTGAATCACTGGCTACTTGGGATCTGAAATCGGACCTTAGCATTCAAAAGCACCTGATACATTCACTCGTCCTACCGTGGCCTGAGTACGTTATCACTGAAATTTTGCCTCCCTTTATTTTGTAAGTTTAGTATTGTAGCGGTAAATAATTCCCCAAAATTATTAACCACAGCAATCATCACTCAACATTGGATGCTGACCATCACTGTTTAAGTCGACTTGTTTAGCTGAAGGCTTACGGTCAAGCATGCCCGCCATTTGGTGCTCCGTCGTGTCACGTGCGTGCACGATTACTAGCTAGCTAAGCATTCACCTCTACCAGCGATTTTGTCCCGAAATATATTACGTACTTTGGATGACAAAATCTGGTCTTTTGCTTTACCATTTGGTACTCGAAGAACGAACACTATAGTGGTTGTTGGTATAAGATCTTGCGTTAGTATAATCCGTACAACTCGCGAACGTCGATACCTACAGCCCCCTAAACTGGTGAGCCCGTCAATCACTAAAGTATCACTATTCCTATCATTTTTATTTGACTATTGCTCAACTACCCTTTATAAGTAACACTGCGTTTTCTTGCATATTTTATAAAAACCCTGTTTCGTCTTCCAACTAGTTCTTGTCCAATCTACAAAATCGTATTGATTAGTCATTTTCTCACAACTGTTACGTTAGTCCAACTTCTGGCCATTTTCTAATTTTCAATCACCTAGCCCTTCTAGATTGCACCGTACACTACATAATACGTTTTCCAGAGAAATTTTGCCAGTATCTGATAGTACTTATGAATTTTTTGTTAAATATAATTATCTCAATAATTTAATAATTCCCATTGTAGCATTAAGAACACAATATTCAGCGAAGAGACTCTTTTCAACGAATTTATTATCAAGCTGTACAATCGTATATATATGGTTTTTTCTAAAAAATTATATCCGTTGAGGGAATTAGGTCAAAGGTGTGAATACATGAAATAATAATAGTATGAAATGCAATTAAAATATTTGTGATTATAATCATAGTTTAATGTCAAGTGGCACAATAATTAATGTCTTATATAGAATAGTACATAAGGTGTAGAGATTTTGGAAAAGGGTACATAATTATAGGATTAGTAGACGAATATAAAATGTTACATAACATGGTATGAAATTTGATAAGACAGAGTTCAATATTGTAAAAAATATAAAAATGTAAAAACTAATAATTTTAGGTTTAAAATGTCAAGTGGGTCAAGTGAACAAGATTCAGAGTGAGAATAGTAATAATAATAATGATAATAATATTAATAATAATAATAGTAATAAGGGAAGAGTACATAGAATAACTAAATAAACAAAATAAATAAATGTCTATCCCTCTGCGGCCAAGGCAGAAGTAGGGATTGTACATACTTCTTTTGTACACAAAGGTCGGGCTTAAAGTCATGAATTGCCAAGGCCTCAGCTGTCTTAAGAAGTCTGTAACGAATAAAACGCGGGAAGTTAGCATGGATTCTATATATGATCTTAAAATCATGGTCAGGGTTAACAGAGTGACAGAAGTCGATCAGGTGTTCCAAAATAGAGCTTCTCACACACTCCCTTTCTCCCTCATAAAACCAAGCTGGAATATGTTTTCGTATCCGTGTGGAAAGCGTCCTCTGACTACGGCCAATGTACCTTGCTCCACAGGAGCAGGTGAACTGATAGATGCACATGGAGGCGGCCAGACGGGGTAGCTTATCTTTTATAGAGGTAGAGAACAACTTGCGGCTAGTGAACGTCATATGTAATTTTGCTGCATAGAACGTCTTACTGACTGATTTGGAGAGACGATTTTTGAGCATATCTGAATCTTGATCACCTTTGAATTCCAAGTTCATAAATAAGGTTTTCTTTGGAACTGTGTCGGTATTTTTATTATTACATTCGTTCATTCTGTTGTATCAATCTGATCGGAAACCATTAGGGTACCACCTAATTGAAAAAATACCTTTAGGTTCCTAGCATGTGAAATATGGTCACCATGTAATACCTTGCTCAGCTCGGTGTTTGGTGTATTTCCTTTCCATCTAGAGGTTTTTCCATAGCGCACAGTGAGTCAAATTTACTCAGTTATACTTTGTCTTAGCCATCCATTTACTCTTTTGAATAACATCGTGTAGTGAGGGCACTTTAAAGTGGCTTTCGAAACAAATCTTGGTCTGTTGTTAAAGGGCAAATATGTCGGGTGCCGAAACATATGGTGTATAGGACTAAATCCCCTCTAACGACATGCTATGGATTATTGTTTTGCTGGAAGACCGTTTATAACCTACTGTTTCTTAACATGCTGTTCAGGACACAACTATTATTATTATTTTAGAGCACTACTTGTGATTCTTTCGATTTCCTCTAAGTCATAAAACTGTAGCCAGAAGCTAGTAATCCGACAGGTTTATGACATATCGGCTAAGGTGCGAAATTCAAATGCTACAGAGAGTGATGTCATCCGCCACCAACGGGTGATGATATACGTTATAACGTGTTAAATTATCCGCGCCTCAGGTTTTCTCGTCTTTCATTGGCTGGAACAGTAGCGGCTAATTTTATATTTAATTTGTCCTTGTTAGGTGATATCGTGTACAGGTTTGTGTGGTTGAGGTATCGTTGTTTGCAAGCATATTTGATGAAAATAAATGTAAAATTTGATTAATCTAACGTTTTATTTTACTTCTTTTGTGCATGTACAAGGTTTGGCTTGTTATATACTCGGTTTGTTGGCCCAGCGGCTGCTGGCGATGTCAAGGAACCCCTGAGTTCTTGGGATTTTCTCAATTTTAGGTTATTCGTGTAGCATTTTATTGATGGATATTGCTCAGTGATGTATTTCAGTATTGCTTTTTGTACGGAATTATATTTAAACAGTTGCGAGACAGATGGATACTTATTGACAAAGCCTTTTTAGTTTATTGCAGGTAGGCAATGCGAGTGAAAGCATTGCACAGGTCAGTGGAATTTTCTGTGAAGTAACGCTCGGAAGGCGTCTCTTCAGCTGGGAGGAATTTGAGAATTCATTATGAGAATTTCAAAAAGTGAGGAAGTCATTTAATGCTAACAATGTAGTTGTCCTGCACTCACTATGTGGTTGCCGCAGATTACGCGGCAGAAGTAATCGCACAAATGGACCATTTTCTCAATGTGCAAATTAACTACTTTCGTATTACAATAAAAATAAACTTTTCCTATTAACATTGTTGTCTTTCTGTTCGTGTGTTCGCGTTGGGAGTACGGGATGCTAGACCGGTGCTCCCTAGGATATGAATTCGTTACTATACGTAAGTGCAATTCTGTAGGAACACTATCCATCGATAAAAGTGGTGAATTATAAGTACTTCATTCAAGTCTAAAAATCTGCCTAGAAGTACGCAGTTACGTCTCCCAGTCATAGATAAATCTGTAGGGACTAATGACAAAAATACCTAACTTCAGTATTTGAAAAATAAGAATACAACTTAGGCCCTGCAGTTGAGTTCGATTTCGTATGAAGTTAAGTATAATCACAAGTAGTGTATTACTTTTATTTCACTTAAAGCGTGATGTCAATCCATATGCCTACTGGTGTTGACATATAGTGTGGAATGAAGTCTATACGAGACGAGTAATTTAATAGGTTGAGCTGTAGCAATATTAGTACGATTCCGCTTACGTTGAATTATGCCTACAATTACTTTCTCAGGTCTCATTGATAGGTCAGGCCTCCATCTCGTCATAATGACAAATTTAGTTTCACTGAGATAGAATAAAAGAAGTATGGTAAGCAGGATGTTAAATATATTTAATGAAAAATAATAAGCGAATGTCTTTACACAACTGTTTTTCGTAATGATTTCGGGGATGCGTAATTGCTGTGACCAGGTTGACTAACTTCACCGAACATCCGCAAGAAAGTGGATAAAGTGTAATTTTTAAATCGTTGAAGTTAGAAATAAGTAATGTAACAGTGAAACGCTTTACATTTTCCTACCTTTGCTGAAAAAGATTCATTCTCCTTTATCATTCTTTGGTCATGACAGCATTTTTCTGCGGTTTTCACTGTCACACACATTGTTCCTCTTCTAAAGTATAGCACCGAGCAAATAATAATTTAATATGTTGTATAAACGGGTGTTTACAAGGAATGCATGACATCTTTACAGGCACAATAAGTTAGGTTATGAATTGCAATTACCTCAGCGATTTTAACTAGAA